CAGTTCGCGTAAAATCAAAAGGCACAATATCATCCCAGCCTTGAAATTTCGACCTGAACAATCCCTGTATAAGTCAAAAAAGAAGATTTTACTTCAAAACAAAAAAAAAAATTTAGTTTATGAACGAGGTAAGTGTGCAAACAGTGCGTTATATAGTAGAATAGGAGGGTTGGTCTTAAGTATCATGTGCCGAAGGACATTTTGCTATGTGACAAGTTCTGTGTTTCATCCCTAAGCTGTAAATACAGACCGAGAAACAATCAAATCATAGAAGTAAATACTTACTAGGCAACCAATATTTATAAGTGAGCAAATAACTAGCAAAGGAAAAAAGCATATGGCAAAAAATTAAGTAACTTTGGAAGCTTATGAGTTCGAAAATAAGCTTTATTTGGCAAAACTTATGCACGATATGTACTTACTCAGCAAAAAAAAAAATATATTAATAAGCAAAAGAAAAAGCTCTAATGAATCACCAGACCGGGCAATAAGAAGAGTCATCGGACACACACACACGCACGCACACATACACGCGCATACATACATACAAACATGAACACGTACATACATAAATACATACATACATACATACATACATATATATATATATATATACACGCACACATACATATATGCACACAAACACACACAAACAACTCCGTGACAATATGCATTTCGTGCAGCTGTTGCACAGCAAGAAACTTACAAAAATGGACTTAACAAAGTCAATTATCAAAACAATAACTCCCACCTGAACATTGTTGACTCCTCGCCCTCCGTCTCTCGAGAAATCGTCGTGTAACTGGGCCTTTCCAGCATCGCGTGTAATTCAGTTACCATTTTCTAAAAATTCAAGGAAAATTCAATCAAAACATTTTTTTAGTAAAAAAATTTGGAAAATCTGATCAAAATACCTTTTCCATAATCCTTTAAAACGAAACCATCGACAGTCTTGCCAGCGATGGCCAATTTTGGCACATTCTATCATTCGAGCTGCTCCCGACTGTCTCTGATTTTGCGAAAAAAATGAGGGGAGGGAGGAAATTTCAACTTTCTGATCTTTGATTTTGGTATTTTCATAAGCTTTCATTTTATCGTAGCGTAGCTTCGCGTCATTGAATATCATCAGCAGTTTTTACACGATTATTAATCGCTGGATTACGAAACCTGACTGTCCGACTGCTGATGATTTTTGCTTCTTCGCCCCCTCCCTCTTTTCTAGACCAGAAGCGATATTTTCAAGGAAAAAAAAAACAAAAACGAGATTAGTAGGGGAAAAACAGGACTTTTTTCTGGACCAGAAACGATATTTTCAAGAAAAACCCAAAAAACAGGATTAGTAGGGGGAAAAAGAAAAACAAAAACGAGGACTAACCTGTCCGGCCATTTTTACCAAACGATTTGCTTTTTTGCCCAACCAAAGAAATATATCCGATGTGCAATCCAAAATATATGCACATTTCGTGTCCAGCATATCCTAAACAACACCAAAAAACAATTTTCCTGAACCTTAAAGGTGTATGATATTTTGTTACGAGGAGGGCCTGCGCGGAATGCAGATGTGTGGGCACTCACACCAAATTAACAAACAATTTTTTATTGGAATCAGAAAAAATTCGAAAAAACCACGGAAAAAACCCAACA